GGTGCGCCGAGAGAGCGCGGGGCCGGCTGGTGCTGCGGGGGCCGCTTCTTCCCCGGCCCCGGCAGCAGCAGCTGTCCCCGTGCTCTCTAGGAGCAGCTGATGAGGCTCCTGCCAGGGCTGCTTCTTCCCCAGCAGCAGTCCCTATCATCCGACATATTCGGTAATCCGACCATGTGTCAGTCCCGTTTACGTCGGATGATAGGGACTCTACTGTACTTGATCAAATAAGCATTCTGCAGTATGAGTAAGGATTCTAAAATCAGGCTCCAATAAATTTGAATCTGTTACTATCCATCCGTTTTCTTGTTTTGTATTTGAATTGTAAATGTTCTCTTTGTATAGTACTTAGAACAATAGGATACTGCACCATGACTGGAGACTGGGGTTCCTAGTTGCTATGATACTATTATTTCTTCGTATTATCTCAATTATACAGTATTTACATTGTCTGAGAGGGGTAGCCATGTTAGTCTGGAACTTTTAAAAAATGAGTAGTCCTGTGGCACTCTCCACTCATGCTCATCTGAAGAAGTGGGTTTTGCCCACGAAAGCTCACGACACTATACATATAATTGGTTTCTCTCTAAGGTGCCATGGGACTACTCATTTGGATGTTTTTTTAAAGTATTTACATTGGTTTATCTGACCATATCCTGTCATAATTTACACCAGTGTAAATCCAAAGTAATCCCATTGAAGTAGAGGAGTAGTTCTGGGTTGTACTGATGAAACAGAATTCAAAATTTGATTTGTGATCTTTTAATTATAAACAAAGCAGACAGGCATATGGTTATGTAGCTCCCTTTAGGGCACTCCCTGTTGTTGATAAAGTGCTATACCACGAGAAGTAGAGATGAGCCTGAATCAAACACTCAAACTGTAAAGAATGTTTGTAATATGACTCTGAGGCCATGGCTATGTTAAAAAAGGTTTGTACAGGTGTATGCCAGAGGTCTAGTTGTACAGACAAAGCTTCCTAGTGTAGACACAACTTATACAGGCAAAAAAAGAACTCTAGCTTGTATATGTAATGCCAGTTCTTGAAGTGAAACCACTTTGATGCTGGTAGAACTGCAACATCATTAGGCAGGGCTGGCAAGAGACTTCGCTGGGCCCCAGGCAATGGGGGGAGGGCTCAGCTCTGAGCCCCTTGGAAGGAAACAGGAACTCATTCCATGAGGAGTAACGGTCGTTCGAACTAGGAAGCCTAGTTCGAGCTACCTAGTTCGTGCCCCGTGTAGCCACGCTGCACGGGGTTCGAACCAGCGGGGTTTTAAAAATGGCGGCGCCCCGCTTCTGCAAATGAAGCCAGGGAAATTCAAATCCCGTGCTTCATTTGCAAGTGCGGTATGCCTACATTACCCCGCTAGTTTGAACTAGCGGGGTAGTGTAGACATACCCCAACTGAGTAGAGCGGAAGAATGACTTCTCGTGTCTTGCTCACAACACTCCTGTTATTGCATCCCAGAATCATGATTTTTTTTTTTTTTTTTTTGCAACAGCATCACACTGCTGACTCATATTCAACTTGTGGTCCACTATATCCCCTAGATCCCTTTCTGCCATACTCCTTCCTAGATAGTCCTTTCCCATTCTGTATGTGTGAAACTGATTGTTCCTTCCTAAGTGGAGCACTTTACATTTGTCTTTATTAAACTTCATCCTGTTTACCTCAGACCATTTCTCCAATTTGTCCAGATCATTTTGAATTATGACCCTATCCTGCAGAGCAGTTGCAACCCTTCCCAGCTTGGTATCGTCTGCAAACTTAATAAGGTTACTTTCTATGCCAATATCTAAATTGTTGATGAAGATATTGAACAGAGCTGGTCCCAAAACAGATCCTTGCGGAACCCCACTTGTTATACTTTTCCAGCAGGATTGTGAACCATTAATAACAAGACCTCTATCATATCCCTCCTTAATCACCTCTTTTCTAAATTGAAAAGTCCCAGTCTTTTTAATCTCTCTTCATATGGGACCCATTCTAAACCCATAATAGTTTTTGTTTCCCTTTTCTGAACCTTTCCACTGCCAATATGTCGTTTTTGAGATGAGGCACCCACATCTGTACATAGTATTCAAGATGTGGGCATACCATAGTTTTATACGGAGGCAATAAGATATTCTCTGTCTTAACTCTCTCTCCCTGTTTTAATGATTCCTGACATTCTGTTTGCTTTTTTTGACTGCCAGTGCACATTTAGTGGATGATTTCAGAGAACTATGTACAATGACTCCAAGATCTCTCTTTTGAGTAGTTGTAACTAAATTAGTCCCCATTATTTAGCATGTATAACTGGGATTATTTTTTCCAGTGTGCGTTACTTTACATTTATCAACATTAAATTTCATTTGTCATTTTGTTGTCCAATCACTTAGGGTATTGTTGTGCAATCACTTACTAGTTTGAACTAGAGTGGCTAATGTAGTCATTCGAACTTGCAAATGAAGCCCGGGATTTAAATATCCTGGGCTTCATTTGCATGTTCCCGGGCGCTGCCATTTTTAAATGCTCGATAGCTCAAACTACCTGACCGCGGCTATACACGGCACAGGCTTGGTAGTTCAAATTAACACTCTTAATTTGAAGTACCGTTACTCCTCCTGCAATGAGGGGTAACAGTAGTTCAAATTAAGAGTGTTAATTCAAACTACCTAGCCTGTGCTGTGTGTAGCTGCAGGCAGGCAGTTCGAGCTACCGGGCATTTAAAAATGGCGGCGCCTGGGATATTTAAATCCCGGGCTTCATTTGCAAGTTCGAATGACTACATTAACCACCCTAGTTCGAACTAGGGTGGCTAGTGTGGCCATACCCTTAGTTTTGTGAAATCTTTTTGAAGCTCTTCACAGTCTGCTTTGGTCTTAATTATCTTGAGCGGTTTAGTGTCATCTGCAAATTTTGTAACCTCACTGTTTACTCCTTTCTCCAGATCATTTGTATATAGGTTGAATAGCACTGGTCCCAGTACCGACCCCACTAGTTACCTTTCTCCACTCGGAAAACTTACCATTTATTCCTATCCTTTGTTTCCTTTCTTTTAACCAGTTATCAGTCCCTGAAAGGACCTTTCCACTTATCCCATGACAACTTACTACTTAAGAGCCTTTGGTGAGGGACCTTGCTAAGGATTTCTAGAAATCTAAGTCTGCTACATCTACTGGACTACCCTCATCCACAAGTTCGTTGATCCCCCTCAGAGAACTATAGTAGATTAGTAAGGCATGATTTCTCTTTACAGCAATCATTTTGATTTTTCCCCAACAAATTATATTCATTTATGTGTCTAACAATTTTATTTTTTTACTATAGTTTCAACTAATTTGCCAGTACTGATGTTAGACTTACCCATTTGTAATTGCCAGAATCACCTCTAGAGCCCTTTTTAAATATTGG